CACTCTTTTCCCCTTTTCCAAATCCTTTGAAAACCAGCTCCCCATCCCACCCCATCCCGTCTTCCAAGACTAGATGTGTCCATGTCCATAAACAATCAGTCACACCAAAAGCCCATCAAACTCTTCTGTCTCTTCCTCTCGCACCTCGAAAACCACGCCCCTGATTCCGCCTTTCTCTATAAATGCAAATTTCTTTTGTCCTGCAGTTTCCTATTGCTGCCGCCGTCCTGCTCAATTCATTTATCCCTTAGTCAGAAACCTTCCCTAGTCCTGCCTTCTGTCTTGTCTTTAGCAAAACAGAAAAACAGAAGGAGAGATATCCTTGGCGTTGAATGAGAACTACAGCGTTATATTGAATAGGAGATGAAAGAGTTTGTGTGGCATACGTTTGATAACCACAGAGACAGACAGACAAACAGACAGACAGACAAACAGACAGACAGACAAAAAGACAGACATATAAACGATAGAGCAAACCCGGGATTGTGTGTGTAGGGGGGGGAGGGGGGGTTGTTAAACAAATAGAAAAAATAGAAAATGGTGACAGACAGTTAGGCAGACGCACAGACTAAAAAAAGAAGAAAAAATCAGTACATGAATGTATCATACAGAAGTTAGACAGCTAGATAGCTAGTCTGATGAGGTAACAACCAAACACAGTAGACACATTATGGGTGGCATCGTGGTGGAATCAGATGCTAGTCAAAATCGTGAACTCGAAGAAACCAGCATTTTCCCGAACGTTTGCCAATTTTTATATCACTTTTTATATCTATTTAAAAACATATTTCTGTGCAGATTTTCCTGAAAAACGTTGACCACCCAAAGGCACAAAAAATCTTTCAACCTTACATATCTTGACTTCTATTCAAGACAGATGGATGTTTCTTTCATCAAACGCGAGACTAATGCACAAGCTTCACGATTATACCAACAACTAGTTATGCCCAAAATCTGACGAGCGCCTGATTCCACCACGTCGTGACACAGACATAATAACATAGAGACACAAGAGTGGGGTCACCAACCTGGGGAACATCCAGCCACTTCTCAGCAGCGTCCATAGCCTCCTTGGCATTGTTCTTGTTCTTCTTGGGGTCCCAGTCCTCCCAGTCAGGGCACAGACCTGAGGAACGGGAGATTGGAAAATAGCTTGTTTATTGTTTGTTTTTGTGGAAAGGGGAGAGGAGGGGGGGGGGGTTGGCTTGGTCATTTTAATCTCTACTTTCTTTTTTTTCTTTGTTTCTATTTTACTTATTGTTGTTTTTTTGTTTGTTTTGGTTAGTTTTGGATTGTTTTGTTATGGGTTGTTGTTGTTTTGGGTTTTTTTGGGGGGTTCAGTTTGACCTTTAAAAATGTCTTCATTCATTCATTCATTCATTTATCTATTTATTCATGTATTTATTCATTTACGCAGAGTGATCATATGCCATTTTGAGCATTTCTCTCTCTTTCTCTCTCTCTCTCTCTCTCTCCCTCTCTCTCTCTCTCTCTCACACACTCTCTCTCACACACACACACAAACACACACTCTCTATCTCTTTCCCTCTCTCTCTCACTCTTTCTCCTCTCATCTTATATATCTTCGACTCTATTATCTATTTACCTCGCCCTCTCTACCTCTCTCTTTCGCTCTCTACCTCTCTCTCTTCCCAAACCCTCTCTCTCCTTTTTCCCCCCCCCCTATTATTACACACACCCCCCCCCTCACACACACACTTTTTTTTTCGACGACCGACATAAGGCCTTTAAACTTCCAAACAACAACAACAACAACAACAACAACAACAACAACAACAACAACAACACAAAAGAAAAAAGAAGAAAAAATGTTTTTTTAAAATATAAAAAAAACGCACCAGGTCCGACAGCGTCGACGAGGGCACCGATGGCCTTGCCGCTGTTCCAGTCGGTGGTGAAGTTGTTGATGGGCAGGTCCGGCACCTTGGACTGGATCCAGTTGAGCAGACGCTGCTTGGGGGTGGGCGCCTTCTCCGACGGGGTGGGCTCCTCGCCCTCCCACATGGGCATGGAGATGGAGTAGTGCAAAATGAGCGTCCATATCAGGCCCAGGATCAGCTTCAGCTTCTTGTCCACGATGTCGGTACTGTCTGTTAGGAACCAAACAGAGAAAGGGAGGGTTAAAATGGTTCGTATAGATTCAGTTAGGGGTTTGCGGCACTTACAACACAATTAGGTCATATAGCAGCCGAAGTTAGCTGTAGTAAGAGTTGTACGGTACTTGCAACACAACTGGGTCACATAAGTGCCGAAGATTAGAGGTGCTACAAGAGAGTAACAATCATAAAAAGGAAGAGAGATAAAGACGATAGTTGTTTGATAGGAAAGAAGGAGCAAACCACACAAGAGCACCCGCCAACCACTCACAATTAGAGAATGGAGAAAGACGGTGGGAAGTACATATCACAAATAAAGGTATTTTCCGTTTGAAACAGACATAGATTTGTGAGGAATACAAGAAATCTAAATGAGATCGGGTAAGCCTTGGTTATCCGAGTTTTGAAATACGATCAAGTGTACACCGTGAGATGAAACGATCGTAAAATGAGATGGGGAAACAGGTGGTGAGGAAAGACAGTAGTACCAAATACGTGCATGTGTGTGTACGTGTGTGGGTGTGGGTGTGTGTGTGTGTGTGTGTGTGTGTGTGTGCGTGTGTGCGTGTGTGTGTGTGTGTGT